CGGTGCGACTCCAGTATAAATCGGCGCCGGGAGCTACACATCATTCTCTTCTTCGTCTTCATTGACTGTTCTGTTTGAAGCGTGCATTTTCAAGGAAAAAGTAAGAGCTATCTATTTATTATGGCGAGCACTAGTAGAGCATTTAGAAGGTGTGTGCATCCGTGTCCGTTGTCCATTGCGGTTCTGTTTACATAGTACAAGCTTGCTGAACTCACTCTCAAAATTCTGTTGTAAGTCCTAAAAAATTTTATAACTGTTGTGACTCCCTTTAGATATGTTCTGGTATGTGATTAGCCACAGAGTGAGAATGTTGATGGCAGAGCCCAGATCCTGTTTCCACACCATTCCCTTCTTTGATCAATCATTTTATCTTATTTCTGCCAATGAATCTCTTTTCTCTTGTGTGTTACCCTACCCTAGTTCTGTAATGTAATCTTTCTCATTCGTTCTTTTTTCATCCTACATTACTGTGCATCTGCTGGTTCAAGGCCTGATCTGAATTCTCAGTGTGGATGTTGAGCAGCATGTGCAATTTGTGAAATGTTAAACAAAGATTGGTTGCACAGAAACTTTACAATAAATTTGCATGCTAACTAGCCATACCTTGACCCTTTGACCCCAAACTAATAAGCAACAAGATTAGCCAATCACAACAGAGATATTTTACAAAGAAGTCTTAAAGGTACAGTATGATATAATGGCCGTGGAACTAAATTGCAATTGTTTTTGCTGTACGAAACCTTGACTAACATTATAAGTGGACTTGTAATGCTACAAAAGTGTAGGATTAATGTCTTGCTTCATATCCTACACTCTCATACTGCCAGGAACCACGTGTCTGTGTTCCAAAATAGAAGTGAATATGTCATAATAGTGATGGGTGTCCTCTGCGATCATACACACAGTGACCCACATAAGTGCTCACAGGAGGATGAAATGACAGAGAAATAAATCAGCCGTTTACACCAGATCAATCCACAAATCAATTAGTCTCTTCAGTAAAGGTAACTGAGGTACAATCCAATCCTCTCTGAATGGGTTCAGGCTCATGTTTGTATGTATGTACGTGTGTCTTTTCTAAGAGAAGTCATCTTCAATGAGATTCGGTTCTGTAAATGCCACTGTCTCTGTCCATGTATGAATATCAGAGTGAACGGGGGGATCACAGAGCGAAATATCACCCATACTAAATATAAGCCCATCTAATCATAGAGGGGTGAGAGTAATTAAACTGTCCACCTATTAGTTCTGTGTAGCACAATGCTGCTTCTGATAGAATATTTTCATTTATGTTAGGATGAAGAGTAGGGCTGTATTGAAACATGAGACATAAAAATTGTGTTGGCAGACAGCAAACCCATGCTGTTCACTGAATGGGGTTATTGTACCAAAAATGGCAATTTCTTTAGTGAATCAGTTTTAAAGCGACCAGTGTAGACTGATTGTCAAAAGGAAAGACTCTTGTGAGTCAGTTCTTCTTAATGAATAGTTCCAAAAAAGTTGGCAGTTTGAATCAGTTATAAACTGATCAAATTTACTGCGTTAGCAGAGAGAATTTATTTAAGTTGCCAGCAAGAATGGACATTATAACTGAATCAGATTGGAATTGAAAGCGTATTGCATCGGAATTGTGCTGAATTTAATCAGAAAATCTAAACTAACACCCAGGCCTAGTATATTTTGTATTGTTTTCAGACCTATGTCTGTGAAATAATCAGTATTTCCCTAACACCCTTAAATGGCACTTAAAAACTAAATGTGTGTTTGGTTGCGTTTCATGTCAGTCAATCTCTTCCTGTCCAAGTGTGCAGTTTTTTATCAGAATAAGCTGCAGGGAGGACCATAATTTTAAAGTTTGGCTAGATTAAACTGTATTGTTTGATACAATAATATCTTGCACCTTAAGTATTCTGCTCTTAGCCGCTATTGTTGGATTGAGTCTGGTATTTGAAATGAATGTGGATCACCAGAGAATGTGAGCATTTGAAAATGAAGGAATTCTATACAGAGAAGTGTTGAGAGCAATTGGGTACTGAGGAGATTTCACTGAAAGTACTGTTACATAATCCTTCACAGCAGGTTTATGTCTAAATGTTTCTTTAAGTTATTTAAGGACAACAGTTGTGATCAATACAATTTATAGTATTGAAGTTATTTTTACTGAATTAGAGGTTTTTGTTTAGAGTGGAGCAGTGATGTTGTTGTTTGTTGTTGGCCAACCTGATAGTTAACATAACCCTGGTTCCCTTGACAAAAACCCAATAGGATTTTTCCATTGGCTTTTGGATTATAGCAGGAAATACGTTGTTTGACCAACAAACGTTTAAGGTTCTTACACATTTTGTTCATTAAAATAATATTCAGGGGAAAAAAAAACGTTTATGAATTTTGAAGCCTAAATTTAGCCTAAAGTAAAATGCTAAACATAGGCTATAAATAAGCTACACCGCCATTGCATAACTTTAACGTCTCCACCGTTAAGCTTTTAGACAACTCTTCAGGTCTTTATTTAAAAAAAACATTTTTCATAAAAGTTTGGGTTTGAGTAGTTTGTATGAGTGTGAGTACAAACGCAACAAGGCTGTAAAAGTGTACTGGTGAATAGATGAGTTTACCTGTTTGGCATGATGACATTTACTGTCCTCAGTAACCTCTATAGTCCCATTTATGAAATTATCTTGAGCCACTAACTTTATTTCACAAATTTAACCATTTACAAAACCCATTGATTTTGGGACGATGGAATTGGAAGTGCTAAAATGCTTACTTGTTTCTGGGTTTTCCTGCAGCACTCTTTTGCTAAGACTCACACTCCAGCCCATCGGTACCAATAATAAACCTAATATTAGTTTGTGAACCACAAAAATGGAAAAGATGACTATATTGTTAAAGGTATTTCATGGATATTGAATACTGATAAATAATGAGGAGTTTTGTGGTATTATAAATAAAAGTTTAGGATGAACATGTTCATTAGCTTTGGAAGAACCAATGACTGTGGTAAAGGAATACAAACAAACACTTTCCTGCTTTCTTTTAAAGGGGTCATATGATGCAATTTAAATTTTTCCTTTTTCTTTGGAGTGTTACAAGCTCTTGGTGCATAAAGAAGAGCTGTAAAGTTGCAAAGACTAAAGTCTCAAATCCAAAGAGATATTCTTTATAAAAGTTAAGAGTCAACCACGCCTACCTAAAACGGCTCGTTCTAACACGCCCCCACATGTCTGTGTCACGATGTGAGAAGAATTGTGTAACGTAGTTTGTAGATCGGGAAGAAGGAGGCGGGAACCGGCGAACACTCAAAGAAAACTTTAATAATAAAATAAACACAAAATAGCGCGACAGCCCCTCGCAGATGACTGCCACGCACAAACGAAACCAAAACACAAAATAAAATCCAGGCCTGGTCCTCTCTTGTCTTTCACTGTCGTCACTCCTCCTTTGTATCCTTCCGGAGCTCCTCCGTGAGACTCGAGACCGGTGAGTGGCGCAGGTGTCGCGCATTAGCAATTACTCTACTGGCCTCGCTCCGTTCCCACGGCTCTCGGCCCCGCCCCTCTCGTCACAATTTGCATAACGCTGCCCAAATGTTCACGCAAAGAAAGAAGGCGTAACTTTTATTCTCGCTGTAGTATTGTTGTTGCAGCCGCCGCCATGTTGTGAAGGCACTGTGTGTTTTGTTGTGAAAGCGAAACTCCTTTGTTTGGTCTTCCAAAAGAGGACAATATCCGCTTCGTCATGCCTGGAGCTGATCCATGCTGGTCGCTGAGGAAATGCATCAACTTTGCGCTGTTGATCGCCGGATCGGCTTTCACCTTGGACAAAGCAGAGTCCATCCCAAAGTTGTCACATGTGGTTGTCGCAAGCCCGCCCGCCTCCGCTCACTCCAGCCCCAGCCGTGTGTTTCGTTGTGAAAGCGAAACTACTTGGTTTGGCCTTCCAAAAGAGTACATGACTAGAAATCAGTGGTTAAGTTGTATTTACAACACTGTTCCAGAATAGTTTAACCCAAATATTCAGATGTGTGCAGCGCATTTTATGGAGGACTGTTTCCTGATCCTGGTAGAGTAGACTACAATGCCGGCTGTTCTGACTCACAGACTGTAAGTACGTTTTTTTATATTTAAAGAATTTGCCACTGACGATTCAAACACGAGTTTTGAGCAGTGTAGAGTAGCACTTGTTGTTTGTCATTTCTCTGATCACAAATGCAGACATGGGTTTATGTTGCAACGCAATGTGTAAAAAGACAGTATAAGTCATTATAATCCGTAATTATGTCCCCACTGGATGCAACAAATGCCTCGTTTATAATGGGTTTTAATGTTTTTGTCTCGTCGCTCCAGCCGGACAGGGCATCACAGTATGGTAAGGGGAGTAACATTTCCGTCACACACTTGAGGTATTCGGCTAATCACAGCGCACTGGATAGCTGGCCAATCAGAGCATACCTCGCTTTTCAGACCGTTTTTCGAGCGTTTTAGAAAGGCGGGGCATAGAGGAGAAACAATAATGTACAGTATGTGGAAAATAATGTGTTTTTTTTTTACCTTAAACCACATAAACACATTTCATTACACCAAATACACAAAATAATGTTCTTTTTAGCAACATCATATGACCCCTTTAAATCTTTCTGCCATCTCTTCTCCTCAACTCTACAGTTTTCTCCATAGGTGGGCCCAAAGCCCCTCCAATACAGAAAGCTTGCCAAACATATCTACATTTTTTTCACAAGCCTCTACAGAGCAGTGAAATGAGAAATACTGGAAGCTATTGCTAAATGAGCAGTTTAATCACTGTTTATTGAATGCTTCCTTTCTATTCATGCCACTTTGAAAGAATGCACTTCAAACCGCAACTCTGCATCATTTTTGAAACATCAACGGCGTCGATTGTACGTTGAATGGTTCAGTTGATCTAACACGGTATGATATTTATGGTTATTGGTTATCTGAATTAAGTCTGTTTTTATATCCTATCTTATTTCTTTTTTTCAGATCCTGACTTTAAAGACATAGGAGTCCCCAAACCTCTTCCCTGTGGGTATTATTCATTCGTCTATAAGAATCCTCCATATTAATACATCTAATGGCTTTCCATTTTTTGTAATTTTTCTTCTTATGTCACCCCCGCTGCAGTTTGTGAATTCGATATGGGAGGACCTGAAGGTATCATTGAATCACAGCAGATCACCAAAGACGGCAAAGCCTTGCAGACTGAGGCAGTGGACTGCAAGTGGTACATCCGTGCCCCTCCTCGCTCCAAGGTCAGTCCCATGCAGTCAGCCCCCGTCCCAACTTCCCCCGCTCTGTCTAATATCACCCCAGTTGTTTCCCTATTGTCGTTCTGATACCCTGCCTGCCACGTTTCTGACATACGACAGCTTGTATCTGCCTCAAGCTGTGCAGTAACTGCCTAACATGCTTCAGTGTTTGGCTTCCTGTTTTGCAGTCATTTGCATTATGCGGCCATTGCGAAAACATCTCGGGGTGGATTTGTATGTTGTTTAGGTGGAAATCTGTTGAGGATAAAAATGTAGCAGCTTTTGGGTGTGTGATATACAGCAGAATAATCTCTCGCAGGGGTCCCATTGTTTTTATGGCATGAGAATCGAAGAGAATGTGTCCATGTGGGAAAGGGCAGGTGGTCCAGTTTATTTGGGAATTTTACAACTGCCCTGGTCACACTATTTACACCTGTGCAAAATACTGGATAATGTTTTATTTTCTCTTGTCTTTTTGTGATACAGTAACGGTAAAAAAAAATATCCTGCTCTTTTTTCCCTTTTTGTTTTGTTGTTTTTTTATTTGATTCAAATGGGAAAAAATAAATGCACCCTCATTAGGATAATTTATTGCATATCTGTCTGTCATAATTCTGCAGTCACATATTATTGTATGATATTCTAAACTAACTGACCATTGTCCCAGGCAACTGATTATCTATACACACTATGTTCCAAAGTTTGGGGTTCGAAATTTCTAAATGTTTTTGACAAACTTTTATTCTCACCAAGACTGTAGTTATTTGATCATAAATACAGTAAAAGCAACAATTTCATAATTTAATAATAATAATAAATACAATTAATGTTATTTGTAATACGCCTTTCTCATACTCAAAGTGCTAATACAGTAATACAGTATATTTTGTCATTTTGAATATTGTTAACATTTTCAGCAGCCATTACTCCAGTCTTTAGAAGTCATTCTAATATGCTTTGGAGCTCAATAAACATTTCTTAAAGGGGTGGTTCACTGTTTTTTTCTAGGCTTGATTGTTTATGGGGTACAGTCTAACGTGTGTTAATGCTTAGTTTTTAAATAAAGCGCATTATTTTTCACATAATTTACCTTTATTACACACCGTTCTGTCCCTTCTCTGAGAAACGGGCTGATCATTTCCTGCTTTTATGAAGCCCCACCCTCAGAAATAGGCGATGGGCTCTGATTGGTTACCTGGCCCAGTGTGTTGTGATTGGCTCAACCGCTAGTGCGCATCTAAATGTTCCGCACCTAACCTCAGCGGCATGTGCTCCGGTTGTATTGTAAACAACGGCGTTGTTAATATCGCTTATCAGTTTGAGCCCGATTGAGAAGCAGAGGATATTATTGAAGAGGATTGTGCAGAACCTGAGCAAGCACGGCTTTTAATGGAAGGCCTGTGTTTTTTGTTTGTTGTTGTCTCATACTTTTAGATATGCTGTTATTTGTAAATGCTACTGCTTATGTTAGCTTTTAATATACGGTTTCATCCTGATTAAAGCTTTAATACAGTATGGCAACTAGGGCTGTGCAATTAATCGGAAAAACTATTTTGATTTCGCCTCTAACGATTATGAAAATACAATAATCGAGATAAAACGATTATTCCGCCCCCATTCCGCCCCCTTTTCCAGCGCTGTGCTTTCGTTCCTTCATAAAAGCTTATTTTCATGTGCAAATCAGTAAAATCATGTAACGTGACTTTTGCAAAATGGGACGTGCTTGATTTATATAAGTATATTTATTCATGTTTTTAAAAGCGTGAAAGAGAACTTGCGCTGCACCTCAGGAAGGTATATGCGCTCAGAGGCGGAACTCTCTTAGCTCTTAAAGTGACAGCGGGCTATTTTCCTGCTGCGACTGTGTGTTTAATATTAATCAAACAACAAAAGACAAATTCAAAATCACATACTGCTCTTGAGTGAAGGACTTTTGTATCTTTAATAAGAAACAAAAAAGTTTAATTCTTACAGTGAAGACTGGCCCAGTTTCATAGACAGGGCTTAGCCTAAGCCAGGAGTAATTTTTATAAACATGCCTTAGAAAAAAGCATTACTGGTGTGCATCTTAAGACAAAACAAAGGCACTGACATGTTTTAAGAGATCACTCTGCAATTTCTTCAAGTTGAAACAGCTCAGATTTACATTTTAGTCTAGGACTAGGCTTAAGCCTTGTCTGTGAAACCGGGGGCTTGAGACTTGCATAAAAAAAACATTAAAGCACAGTTTGTTTCATTTGTATCTTTATATTCTATTGTATTTGTCATTTGCTTTTTTATTACTGACAGTTTAATTATTTTCAATAATTTTTAGGACGTTATGTTTGTTTGAAATTCCGCTGGTCTCTACAATGTAGATGTCAAATTTAACTGTTAAAGGGTCATATGATGTTGCTAAAAAGAACATTATTTTGTCTATTTGGTGTAATGAAATTTGTTTATGTGGTTTAAGGTTCAAAAAACATTATTTTCCACATACTGTACATTATTGTTTCTCCTCTATGCCCCGCCTTTCTGAAACGCGTCGATTTTTACAAAGCTCATCAGTCTGAAAAGTGAGGTGTGCTCTGATTGGCCAGCTATCCAGTGCATTGTGATTGGCCAAATACCTCAAGCGTGTGATGGAAATGTTACTCCCCTTACCATACTGTGATGCCCTGTCCAGCCAGAGCGATGAGACAAAAACATTAAAACCCATTATAAACGAGGCATTTGTTGCATCCAGTGTGGACATAATTACGGATTATAATGACTTATACTGTCTTTTTACCCGTTGCATCGCGCCGCGTAAACATAAAACCATGTCTGCATTTGTGATTGGAGAAATGACAAACAACAAGCGCTAATCTACACCGCTCAAAACTCTGAGTGTGTGAGTGCGTTTGAATCGTCAGTGGCAAATCATTTAAATATGAAAACGTACTTACAGTCTGTGAGTCAGAACAGCCGGCATAGTCTACACTACCAGGATCAGGAAACAGTCCTCCATAAAATGTGTTGCACACATCTGAATATTTGGATTGAACTTAGTGTTCATTTCGTTAATGAAGACTATGATGAAAAATGTTTGTTGACTAGTTTTTCCCATGACTAAGACGAGACGAAGACGAGATGACAATAAGGTCAATAAACGATAACTAAGACTATATAAACATGCAATTTCGTTGACGAAATAAGACAAGACTAAAATGTATTCAGAAAGATAAAAACTTTACCAAAAACCTCTTTTAATTTTCGTCAAAAAAGGAGACAAAATGTTATTGCAGACTGCTCTACATGCCTCTACTACATGAGCTTTCATGAGTGCGGTTGCCAGATATCAAGATTTCTAATTCCCGAATCAGAGCTTCGCTGTTAAATTCTATGGGATGATATTAGACTCAAAATGATTAATAGATGCACTCACAATTATCCATGTACTGCATACATTTTATAGATGTGTCTTACTAACCACAAACAAATGCCTTTCAATTTGAGTCTTTGGAATTTTGGATTAAATGATTGTGCAGTGATTTGTACAAATACAGACATGTTTGCGAATAAAAATGTTCTGTTCTGCATTAATATATCATAAATAGCTCATGCAAAAAGGAATCTGTGCATATGTGGATCAGGTGACACCCATGCATTAATTGACGTCTAGTTCGAGTCGATCTTGTTCAGTTCATTTGGATTTTGAGACTTCATTTTCGCAGTTTACAGCATTTCACGTCCCCCACACACACAACTACCAACGAACAAGGCCCAGTGCAATTCATTAACCGGTACACGATTTGAAAAATTTGCAAATGTGCATCACTACACTGAAACAAATGCTTTTCAACCGGTGTCTGCAGAGATAAGGATTACATTAATGTGCAGCATTTTGTTTAAATAGAGACATATTTGTGAATACAAATGTTATAGTTTGTATTAAAGTATCATGATTTGTGCATGTAGCGATTAAAATGTGCATTTGTGGATCAGGCGACACGCGTGCATTTGTTTTCTTTGTTTCTTTTTGGTTTGGCTATTCTTGTCTACCGTAGAAATATAATAAAGATGTTTTATTGAACTTGTTCTAACGTAACTTGTCTTAAGACACAGAATAGCTTATATTAATTTTGCCAAACAAGACCTTCGTGACAGTACCTTGTTTTTTCTTTCTTTCTGTAATTCAACGGCACGTTGTCAGTTATTCCTTCCTTGTAGGCTATCATTATTATGCAAAGATGAAGTTGACGATGCTGATTAGCCATGTCTGCAGTACGAGAGAAATGCACCTTTCATATAGTCCTACAGCATTGCAAACGCTGCAGCCTGTTCATTATCAGAATAAAATACAGTCAACCAAATATATAGATACACTATAGAATCTAGATACACTGCATAATTAAAACAGTCCGTAGTGCAATCCGTGCCGTTCAGCCTGAGCTCGGGCCAAGAATATATTTGCTCATGTGAAGAGGATGATCATGATTTTTTTATTTTTTTTTTGGAAAGCGGGTTAAGTATAAAGCCTGGTTTACATATAGGCCTAATAAATAATAGTCAGTTGCATTCAAATTCAAATAGCCAACATTGTGAATATGGAAACATTTGGATTTGTGCCAAATGAGAGAGTAAGAAAGATTATAGAAGATTATAGGGCCAAACAATTTTTAAAAAAGCATCTCCAGAATAAAGTCATTAGCCTATAATGCGAGATTAAACTCATTAAATATCCAGAAAAATGTAGAAATAAAATATTGAGAATAAAAATTATTCAATTTTGTTCATCAGCATCGTCAACTTCATCTTTGCAGCCGACACTGACTCAAAAAACAGTTAAGTAATAAGTAGCCTAAATAAAATATGTTCTAGCTATTTATTCGATCCACTTGAGCGCGGAATAGGCTATAGCCTATAAAACACTCGTTTAGAATAGTTTAGTTTAAGTTAATTTAATAGTTTAATTAAATATAAACGTGCGATTACTAATGGCTTAAATGAGCGACTATAATAGCCCTTTTAATAATAATAAT